CGGGCGCTCAGCACCACCAACGACAGCACTGGATGGCTGAGCACCGCTCACTACCACGGCACCACTCGCTACCGCTCACAAGCACTCGTAACCACTCGTCATCGGTGTCACCACTGACAGGCGCTCAGCACCACCAACGACTGCACTGGATAGCTCAGCACCGCTCACTTCCACTCTGAAACTCTCAGCAGCACTCGGCACCGCTCAGAGCTACACGTAACCGCTCTTCACCGCTCGCCACCACTCACAGGCGCTCAGCACCACCAGCGACTGCACAGGACGGCTCAGCACCGCTCACTACCACTATGAAACTCTCCGCAGCACTCGGCACCGCTCAGAGCCTCTCATAACCGCTCGTCACTGCTCCCCACCACTCACAGGCGCTCAACACCACCAACGACCGCACAGGACGGCTCAGCACCGCTCACTACCACTATGAAACTCTCCGCAGCACTCGGCACCGCTCAGAGCCACTCATAACCGCTCGCCACCACTCGTCACCACTCACGGATGCTCAGCACCACCAACAACCGCACAGGAAGGCTCGGCACCGCTCACTACCACTCTGAACCTCTCGGCAGCGCTCGGCACCGCTCACAGCCACTCATAACCGCTCGTCACCGCTCGTCACCACTCACGGGCACTTAGCACCACCAACGACCACACAGAACGGCTCAGCACCACCACTGACCTCACACAACGGCACAACACCGCTCTGAACCGCTCCCCAGCACCTCCGAACCACTGAGAGCCGCTCATCACCACTCAGCACCGCTCTTCACAACTCATCACCGCTCGTCACCGCGCGTCACCACTCACGGATGCTCAGCGCCACCAATGACCGAACACAACAGCTCAGCACCTCTCACTGCTGCTCTGAACCGCTCTGCAGCACTCGGCACCGCTCAGAGCCGCTCATCACCACTCGGCACCTCTCAGAGCCGATCATCACCACTCGTCACCACTCGTCACCACTCACGGGCGCTCAGCACCACCAATGACCGCACACAACAGCCCAACACCACTCACTGCCACTCTGATTCGCTCATAGCCACTCACAGCCACTCGTCACCGCTCCCAACCACTCATCACCGCTCATCACCGCTCGTCACCGCTCACGGGCGCTCAGCACCACCAACGATTGCAGACAACAGCATAGCACCGCTCACTACCACTCTGAACCGCTTGGCAACACATGGCACCGCTCAAAGCCACTCGTTACCACTCGGCATCGCTCCAAACCACTCTTCACCACTCCTCACAGCTCATCACTACTGATGGGCGCTCAGCACCACCAACAACCGCAGATAACCGCTCAACACCGCTCTCTACCACTCTGAACCTCTCGACAGCACTCGGCTCCGCTCACAGCCACTCATAACCGCTCGTCACAGCTCGTCACCACTCACAGGCGTTCAGCACCACCAAAGACCGCACAGAACGGCTCAGCACCACTCACTCCCACTCTGAACCTCTCGGATTACTCTGAATCGCCCAGAACCACTCGTAACCGCTAATCAGCACTCGTCACCACTCAAGGGCGCCCAGCACCACCAATGACCGCACTGGACGGCTCAGCACCACTCACTACCATTCTGAAACTCTCGGCAGCACTCAGCACCGCTCAGGGCCACTCATAACCGCTCGCCACTACTCACGGGCGCTCAACACCACCAACGACCGCACTAAACGGCTCAGCACCGGTCAATACCGCTCTCAACCTCTCAGCAGCACTCGGCACTGCTCAGAGCCAGACATAACCGCTCTTCACCGCTCGCCACCACTCACGGGCGCTCAGCACCACCAACGACCGCACGGGACGACTCAGCACCGCTCACTACCACTCCGAACCTCTCGGCAGCGCTCGGAACCGCTCAGAGCCATCCATAACCGCTCGTCACCGCTCGTCACTCCTCACGGGCGCTCAGCATCACCAACGACCGCACTGGACGACTCAGCACCGTTTACTACCACTCTAAACCTCTCGGCAGCGCTCGGCACCGCTCACAGCCACTCATAACCGCTCGTCACCATTCACGGGCGCTCAGCACCACCAACGACCGCACAGAACGACTCAGCACCGCTCACTACCACTCTGAACCTCTCGGCATTACTCCGAACCGCCCAGAGCCACTCATAACCGCTCGTCACCACTCACGGGCGCTCAGCACCACCAACGATCGCACTGGACGGCTCAGCACCGCTCACTACCACTCTGAACCTCTTGGCAGCACTTGCACCGCTCATAGCCACTCATAACCGCTCGTCACCACTCACGGACGCTCAGCACCACCAACGACCGCACTGAACGGCTCAGCACCACTCACTACCACTCTGAACCTCTCGGCATTACTATGAACTGCAGAGAGCCACTCGTAACAGCTTGTCACCGCTCGTCACCACTCACAGGCGCTCAGCACCACCAACGACCGCACTGGACGGCCCAGCACCGCCCATTTCCACTCTAAAACTTTTGGCAGCACTCGGCATTGACCAGAGCCACTAATAACGGCTCGTTACCGTTCGCCACCACTCACCGGCGCTCATCACCACCAACGACTGCGCTGGACGGCTCAGCACCGCTCACTACCACTTTCAACCTCTTGGCAGCACTCGGCACCGCTCAGGGCCACTATTAACTGCTCGTCACCACTCATGGGCGCTCAGCACCACCAACGACCGCACCAAATGGCTCAGCACCGCTCACTATCACTACGAACCTCTCGGCAGTAGTCGGAACCGACCAGAGCCACTCATAATTGCTCGCCACCGCTCGTCACCACTCATGGGTGCTGAGCATCACGATGCGCTTATTGGTATCACATGTTTATATAACCATATGCTTGTAATTATTTCTGTTATTACAAGCCAGCACATATTTATTTTGTACAAAATTTATGCATGTTTGCTCATGTAGAAAGCATTTCCTTGCAGTCTCTTTGTGGCTGTAAGTCAAAACGCGATTGTTTGGATAGCTGCCAAGCCTCAAAGTGGGGTGCACTGTCAATTTTCAATGTAGGCACGTCCGTTTTTGTTCTGATTGGTTAGATTTGGCCTGCTTCATTTTACACCTTGACTAAAACCAACCACGACTCTAATGATCGAGCCGGGTGGTTTGCAGCTGCGCTTCCAGGCTGCTTGATTTTTTTTTTCTTTTCTTTTTTCGGGCATGTTGGTTCCATCTGTACCCCCCCCACATAGCAGGGTAATTTGTCCATGATGGGCTCCAATTTATGATTCTGATTGACGTATTATTTGTGCTTCCCATTTATTTGCCCCTGCCCCACATGTTACACAGCGTTTTGTGGGAGGGGTGGGGTTGAAGTGTATGCTTTAGAATTTCGTTTTCATTTTCCTGCCCACCCATCCACCTCGCTCGTGCCTCAGCCCAAACAGCTCAAGTCAATTCAGTCGAACCTCCTCCTTCCATCCTACCCACCTTGCAGCTAGACTTAATCACTAATCCGCTTGTATTCCATTCGACTTAGTGAGATCCGCGAGTCGTTTGTCTGTTCGCGCGCCCCGCGCGCCTCGCGACCGTTAGATAGTCATGCGCGCCTCCAGCGTTTTCGTTTCGCCGCCCCGCGCTTTCATTTGTAGTTCACGGATATTGCCATTAATATCGTTTCGTCTGCATTTCGGAGGGCGGCGCGACGTGTATCGGACGTGACCGTCGATCTGTCGCGTCGCGAAATTTCGAAGTAGTTATCGAACAAACTCCGTTGCGCCGTTGCTGCGCAGTGAAGAGCGCCCGAAGCGCCGATGCTGGCGCGATGAAGAGCGCCCACCGTTGCGCTGGTCGTGAAGCAGCGCGACTTGTAAGCGGGCCCCGAGCTGCTCTTCCCGCCGCCCACACCTTCCGCCAGTCAGTACCGCCTGAAACAAGGGACTTCCGCCCTGTAACAAGGGACTTCCGCCTGAGTCCTGCACGCACTTCTCGATCCTCGTCCCCCCTGGCTTTAGAATAATGTCTAGTTTGGCACTCGCTTCTTACTACGTGCCAGCTCACGCGCTTCTCACAAGCTACGAGTACCCTTCAATTTCTCGTACACGGACGGTCTTGATGCGATCACGGGCTGGCAGCGTAAAGCAGAGCCTGCACTGTGACAAAAAAACGCAGTGACTGCCGAAACCAGCTGCTATCGTAAGGAATAAGCGTGAGTCCGCTCGCCGAGGTTGGTCTTCTGCTCGGCGTGGATCCTGGCGGTGCTTCTTCTTCGGGCGAAACCTTTCTTTGACTCACGGTTCCCTCCATTCCTCCTTTCTCTCGACCTCTCCGCGCCTCTCGTATATTCCTCCTCCACACGCATTTCTCATCGCGCGGTACCTAGAGTGGCTTCGTTCTCGTGAGCACATCCCATCGGATGTGCGGTTCCACACCAGCCCGAAAAGCTCCTCGGGATCCGTGACGTTGTCCGTCGATTTTCGCCTCAGATCAACGACCGGATCGCGTCGTGCTAGCTGGCATCAGAGGAGATGGCGGATCGAGCGCCATGAGGCAACGCCGCCCCGCGCGTCCTGCTCGGCGAAGGTGGTACGTAGCGGCACTCCACGTTCGTGGGCGCGTGAAGCGCCGTCCCGTGCTGTGCATAACGTGATTTGTTTCCGCTAACAAATCACGCTCTCCCTGCCGGTCAGTGTGCATAGTAAGGCTTGCGTTTGTTTTTTTATTTGCGTCAATCATTCAATTGTTTTTGTAACAATTCGAACGTTTTTTTTGTTTCTTTGACAGGGACGCGGCGCGCATCAGAAGGCAGCGGCGCGCATGCATGTCACGGTGAGATGCGCATGCATGTGAGGCCGCTTCTCCCCGTGCGCAGGACGCAAGCGGGCAAGCGGGGAACCGGAGAGGGCGCGAGTGACGGTGTTGGAGCGCCCAGTGCTACGGGAGGTTCTTAGACGCGCCAGTCGCCTGGGCGAGCTCGTGCTCTTCACTGCCGGGCTGGAAGGTGCCATGGATGTGAACGAGTGCAGTTGGGTTCGTTTCGGTTGCAGTTGAGCTGGGAACCGGAGAGGGCGTCCTCGTTCCCCCTTCGCCTCGTTCCGCCCCCCCTCGTTCCTCCCCCCTCGTTCCTCCCCCCTCGTTCCTTTCCCCTCGTTCCTTCCCGTCGTCCCTTCCCCCTCGTTCCTTCCCCCTCGTTCCTTCCCGTCGTTCCTTCCCCCTCGTTCCTTCCCCCTCGTTCCTTCCCTCTCCCCTCGTTCCTTCCCTCTCGTTCCGCTTTCCTCATTTCCCCTCGGTTTCCGTGCTGCAGGCGGAAGAGCAAGGCGTTTCCGTGCTGCAGGCGGAAAGAGCAAGGCGTTTCCGCGCTGCAGGCGAAGAGCAAGGCGTTTCCGCGCTGCAGGCGGAAGAGCAAGGCGTTTCCGCGCTGCAAGCGGAAGATCAAGGAGTTTCCGCGCTGCAGGCGGAAGAGCAAGGCGTTTCCGCGCTCATCCCTTCCCCTCGTCCCTTTCTCTTGTCCGTTTCCTTCCCCCTCGTTCCACCTTCCTCATTCCGCCGCTTTCCCCACTCTATTCCCCCTTGCTGGTTTTTGCCCGGTCTCAATCCCCGTTTTTCCGCCCCCGCCAGTCCTCACCCCCCTCCAGCCGTGCAAGCAATGCAACGCCGCCGCCGCCGCCGCCGCCGCCGCCGCACGCCTCGGCGCTAATGCGGGCGGCCATGGGGCGCTGCAGTGGCACCAAGGCACGGCCACTTGGTAAGAGAGCACACGTGCCTGCTTGCATTCGTTTTGCCCTTGCTCGTTCCGCCCTGCCCTTGCTCGTTCCGCCCTTCGTCGTTCCGCCTGCCTCGTTCCGCCCTGCATCGTTCCGCCTTGCCTCGTTCCGCCTTGCCTCGTTCCGCCTTGCATCGTTCCGCCTTGCATCGTTCCGCCTTGCCTCTTCCGCCTTGCCTCGTTCCGCCTTGCATCGTTCCGCCTTGCCTCGTTCCGCCTTGCATCGTTCCGCCTTGCATCGTTCCGCCTTGCATTGTTCCGCCTTGCATCGTTCCGCCTTGCATCGTTCCGCCTTGCATCGTTCCGCCTTGCATCGTTCCACCTTGCCTCATTCCGCCCTGCATCATTTCGCCATCCCCTATTCTCACCTCTCCTCCCTCTGCTCAAGTCCTCTCCTCCCCTCTGTTCACCTCCTCTCCTCCCTCTGTTCACCTCCTCTCCTCCCCTCTGTTCACCCCCCTCTCCTCTCCTCTCCTCTCCTCTCCTCTCCTCTCCTCTCCTCTCCTCTGTCACCTCCTCTCCTCCCCTAGCATCAACTCCTCTCCTCCCCTCTGTTCACCTCTCCTCCCCTCCGTTCACCTCCTCTCCTCCCCTCTGTTCACTCCTCTCCTCCCCTCGCATCAACTCCTCTCCTCCCCTCCGTTCACCTCTTGTCCTCCCCTCTGTTTACCTTCATCAACTCCTCTCCTCCCCTCTGTTCACCTCCTCTCCTCCCCTCTGTTCACCTCCTATCCTCCCCTTTGCTCAACTCCTCTTCTCCCCTCTCTTCACCTCCTCTCCTCCCCTTTCTCAACTCCTTTCCTCCCTCTGTTCACTCCTCTCCTCCCCTCTCATCATCCTCTCCCCTCTGTTCACCTCCGCTCCTCCCCTCTGTTCACCTCCTCTCCTCCCCTCTGTTCACCTCCTCTGTTACCCTCTCCTCCCCTCTGTTCAACACCCTCTCTGTTAACTACCTCCTCTCTCCCCTCTGTTCAACACCCCCTCTGTTCACCTCCTCTCCTCCCATCTGCTCAACCTCTCCTCCCCTCTGTTCACCTCCTCTCCTCCCCACCACTCGCCACCTCTGCCACAATTTCAGAACCTGCCACACACCATCCCTCACACCTACTGTTCTCTCTCTGTTGCGTGTATGACTATTTCTGCTTTTCGTTCCTCTTCTTCTCTCTTGCACCGTGTAATTCACTGTAGAGTGTTTCACCATCTCGGCAGCCCCTCACTCCCCCACTTGCCCTCACGCACACTTGCCATCCGTGCCGTGCTTCATTCCCCCCCCTCACCCCACCCCACCCCACCTCATCCCTCCCCACCGTGGGCAGGTGGCATATCTCCTGTGGGGCGCCATTCTGAAGACATTGTGAAAAAGTAGGATAGTAA